GTGGACTAAGACTTGGGAAAGTTATTTTCGGCTTAATTTTTCGAACATTCATACAGGTTTTCTCAGACTTGATAAAATAATTTTTGTAAACATTAAAAAAATCATTTTTAGAGTGAATATTTCGAAAATTTTGGTCTGCGATCATCAATATGTAATGTTTTGTTAATTTTGGACCGTTCATTTTCGGCTTTATGTCCTGTATTTTAAACAGTCGTAATTTTCATTACCCCTCCTGTTCATGTGAATGTTTATCATATATTAACTAACTTTGATGTTCAACTTTTGCCATATTTAAAGGGGAAAAGTGGAAGATTTAAATTGATTACCACACATATTTATCATTTTAGACATACTTTAAGTTTCTTCTTGTCGAAATAAGTCTTCACTTATTAAGAAAAAAAGGGAAAAATATAGCCCCGCCCACCCGCCCTGTCTAAATTGTGACGATTTTTTTATTCATCGTGAGCCAAGAGGGCGGAGCTTAACTGCAAAATCTTTATTTCTCCACGAAAAATTAAAAACATGTTTAAGAGTATTGTGTTGTTTAAAGAATACTATGTGTATTAAGACCAAAAATAAAGCCAAAGATTAGACCCCACCCATACCCACCCCGGTCTCAATTCTCAATTGTGATGAATTTTTCATTCGTTGTTTTGTTAGATCGAAGGGCGGGGTTTAATTGCAAAATCTATATTTTTCTACAAGAATTTACCATTTAAACATGTTTTAAGTTTCTAGTTCTAAAAAGACGACTACGTATATTAAGAAAAAAGACAAAATATAAGCCCCGCCCACCCACCCTGTCTCAATTGTGATGATTTTTTTTTATCGTCGGGAGCCAAAGGAACGAAATTCAATTGCAAAATCGTTATTAGTTCTTATTTATATTTTAAACGTGTTTTAGGTTTCTAAGAATAAAACAAATCATCACAATTGAGATGGGGTGGGTGGGCGGGGTCGATATTTTGTCTTTTTTTCTTAATATACACAGTATTTTTTGAACAAGCAGATAGTGAAAAATATGTTTTTAATTTCTTGTAAAGAAATAAGTATTTTGCTGTTAAGCTCCGCCTCCTTGGTTCACTGCGAATAAAAAAAATCATCACATTCGAGATAGGGTGGGCGGGCGGGGTTCAATTTTGCAATTTTGTTTTAATATGTGCAGACTTGTTTTCACAACAAGAAACTTAACAACATGTTTACTATGGAAAATTAAGCCCCACCCATATCCATCCCAAGCTCAGTTGTGATGAATTTTTCATTCGTTCTCAGATCGAGGGGCGGGGCTTAATTGCAAGATCCATATTTGTCTAGAATTTACCATTTAAACATGTTTTAAGTTCCTAGTTCTGAAAAGACGACTACGTATATTAAGAAAACAGGCAAAATATAAGCCCCGCCCACCCACCCTGTCTCAATTCTGATGATTTTTTTTATTCGTCGTAAGCCAAGGAGCGGATTTTAATTGCAAAATCCACATTGCCTTATAAAAATGTACTATTTTAAACGTGTTTTAAATGTCAAAGAATAAAAAAATTATCGCAATTGAGATGGGGTGGGTGGGCGTGGTATATATTTTGCCCTTTTTTCTTAATACACATAGTATTTTTTGAACGATACTCAAAAACATGTTTTTAATTTCTTGTAAAAAAATAAGTATTTTGCAGTTAAGCTCCCCTCCTTGGTTCACGGAGAATAAAAAAAATCATTACAATTGACATTGGGCGGGTGGGCGGGCTTACATTTTGCCTTTTTGTTTTAATACTGTGTAGACTTCTTTTTACAACGTGAAACTTAAAATATGTTTAACATAGAACATTTGAATAAGGAAATATTGATTTTGCAATTACGCTTCGCTCCATAATTGTAAAAGCCATATTTTCTTGCAAAAATATACCATTTTAACCATTTTTAAGTTTCTGGTTGTCGAAATAGGTCTGCACATATTAAAAAAAAAAAAAAAAAAACTAACTAAAAATTAAGCCCCACTCCTATTTATCCCAACCTCAATTGTGATGAATTTTTCATTCGTTGTCAGATCGAGGGGCGGGGCTTAATTGCAAGATCCATATATGTCTAGAATAATATACCATTTAAACATGTTTTAAGTTTCTAATTCTAAAAACACGACTACGTATATGAAGGAAACAGGAAAATATAAGCCCCGCCCACCCACCCTGTCTCAATTCTGATGTTTTTTTTTTATTCGTAGTAAACCGAGGGGCGGATTTTAATTGCAAAATCCACATTGCCTTATAAAATTGTACTATTTTAAACGTGTTTTAAGTTTCAAAGAATAAAAAAATCATCACAATTGAGATAGGGTGGGTGGGCGGGATTTATATTTTGCCCTTTTTTCTTAATACACATAGTATTTTTTGAACGATATTCAAAAACATGTTTTCAATTTCTTGTAAAGAAATAAGTATTTTGCAGTTAATCTCCGCCTCCTTGGTTCACAGCGAATAAAAAAAATGATCACATTTGAGATAGGGTGGGTGGGTGGGGTTATATTTTGCATTTTTGTTTTAATATTGTGTAGACTTCTGTTTACAACGTGAAATTTAAAATATGTTTAACATAGAACATTTGGATAAGGAAATGTTGATTTTGCAATTAGGCTTCGCTCCATAATTGCAAAAGCCATATTTTCTTGCAAAAATGTACCATTTTTAAGTTTCTTGTTGTCAAAATAAGTCTGCACATATTAAGACAAAAAAAATCAAAATGTAGCCCCGCCCACCCGCCCTATCTCAATTGTAATGATTTTTTTTTATTTATCCTGAGCCAAGAGAGCGGAGCTTATATGCAAAATCCTTATTTTTCTACCAAAAATTAAAAACATGTTTTTGAGTATGGTGTTGTTCAAAGAATACTATGTATATTCAGAAAAAAAACAAACTAAAAATTAAGCCCCACCCATATTCATCCCAACCTCAATTGTGTTGAATTTTTCATTCGTTGTCAGATCGAGGGGCGGGACTTAATTGCAAGATCCATATTTGTCTAGAAGAATTTACCACTTTGGCCATGTTTTAAGTTTCTTGTTGTGGAAAGATGGCGATGTATATTAAGAAGAAAAGCAAAATATAAGCCCCGCCCACCCACCCTGTCTCAATTCTGATGATTTTTTTTTATTCGTCGTAAGCCGAGGGGCGGATCTTAATTGCAAAATCCACATTGCCTTATAAAAATGTACTATTTTAAACGTGTTTTAAGTGTCAAAGAATAAAAAAATCATCACAATTGAGATAGGGTGGGTGGGCGGGGTTTATATTTTGCCCTTTTTTCTTAATACACATAGTATTTTTTGAACGAAATTCAAAAACATGTTTTCAATTTCTTGTAAAGAAATAAGTATTTTGCAGTTAATCTCCGCCTCCTTGGTTCACAGCGAATAAAAAAAATGATCACATTTGAGATAGGGTGGGTGGGTGGGGTTATATTTTGCATTTTTGTTTTAATATTGTGTAGACTTCTTTTTACAACGTGAAACTTAAAATATGTTTAACATAAAACATCTGGATAAGGAAATATTGATTTTGCAATTAGGCTTCGCTCCATAATTGCAAAAGCCATATTTTCTTGCAAAAATGTACCATTTTTAAGTTTCTTGTTGTCAAAATAAGTCTGCACATATTAAGACAAAAAAAAGCAAAATGTAGCCCCTCCCACCCGCCCTATCTCAATTGTAATGATTTTTTTTGTATTTTTTGAACGATACTCAAAAACATGTTTTCAATTTCTTGTAAAGAAATAAGTGTTTTGCAGTTAATCTCCGCCTCCTTGGTTCACTGCGAATAAAAAAAAATCATCACATTTGAGTTAGGGTGGGTGGGCGGGCTCACATTTTGCATTTTTGTTTTAATATCTGCAGACTTGTTTTCACAACATGAAACTTAACAACATGTTTACCATGGAAAATTAAGCCCCACCCATATCCATCCCAAGCTCAAATGTGATGAATTTTTCATTCGTTGTCAAACCGAGGGGCGGAGCCTAATTGCAAAATCGATATTTCCTTATACAAATTTACCATTTTAACCATGTTTTACATTTCTTGTTATGAAAAGATGACTTAACACATATTAAGAAAAAAGGGCAAAATGTAAGCTAAGCACTTGTAGTTATAATGCCTAATCTTTTTTGAGATAAATAACAATAGTTTGATTATATTTTTCGTAAGTTTGTCGAACAGTCTGATCATGTTAGTTAGAGTAGGTAGCAATAGTAGTTCAGAGTGGTATAAGTCATTTTTCAGGTGATGTACGGACAAATGATCCGTAGTCACGCTAGATCCATGGGGGTACTTTGTGTAAGTATATACCCGTGATGATGGAAGTCTTGCTTAAATGCCTGTCATTTCCGGGTCAATGGTCAATAATAATAATAATAATAAGTGCTTCATTCTCCATTTCGCGGTCACCAAATTTTGTAATCTTTCAGGATTTCGGAAACATAATAACTGTGAAAATGACAGTGTACTAGTGGCAGGCCGAATCCCGTACCAGGGTCGTACTCTCCAGCACGTCGGCCATAAATTCGCACCTCTCTTGTTCTTTTTGGGCCGTTCCTCGAACCGCACCTGCCCAAAACCTACAAAACTTTTCGATTAAATCGGCGGTAAACGCGACATGCTTGCGTGTAGGCTTGCGAGCCATTACTGAATATCAAAGTGCAATCTTGTAGTGCACCGTTGCCATAGATCTTGTGTCGTGTTGATGTATTTAATTACACGTCTGGGGCATGGAAGAGGCGAAGTGCAGCCGACTGTAAGGACAACTTTTAGTGTGCAACGCACCAGCGCCTCCTGCTCTGCGGGTGTTTTCCGGTAAGTGTGACCCCAGGAGCCCCAGGAGCTCGCCCTCTCGAACGCACCATCCTCCGAACTGCGAGATCCGTGTCGAAGCGCTCTCCCGCCTCCTCTCGCAAAAGTGGGATAAATCCCCAGCCGCCACAACAGAACCCAACATCTCAAATCACTTCTCTTGCATCGCCAAGAGAGCTCGAATTCGAATTCCGGTTCAGTCGTCCATCGCGCGCGAAAGCGAGAGGGTTCTTGCACATCTCGCATTTTGTCCAGCTGAACAATCGGAAGAACCGGCGAGTGTTCAATTCAACGAAACACTTGTGAGCGGCACGTGCTGGTGCTCCTCTAGCCCGATAATTGTGCAGTCGCTGACCTTTCGATAGATCCCTTGTGCACTTGCGAATCGATTAATTAAATGGTTCACCGACCTTGCCATTGACCCTTGGTGATCATGTGCGATTTTTTCGCTTAGTGGTGTTGTGGTGGTGGTTCTGTGAGGAAAAGACATGACGAATGTTAACAGGATCCGGGTGGTGGTGCTAGGAAGCCCCAGGGTGGGAAAATCAGGTAAGGGACTCTTTATCCTGTCTCCACCGCGTGAAGTGACACCAAATTTTTAACCTCTTAGAACTATCAAAATTGTCATAATCACGTCGGAAAATTTTAGTAAACACAAAACAACAAAATGTTGACAAACTCCGTTTTCCAGTCCTACAACAAGGAGGACAAGAACTTGATATAAATCAGCGAATAGAAAAAGCAGCGAAAGTATATCATAAATTACAAAAGTCGTTTATTAGCGGGAAAAAAATATCAAAGAGACGCAAACCGACATTTATAAGGCAAATTACCCGTCAAAAGTAAAAGTTATAACCGAATCTTTTGTTTGGCAGGAAGCAATTTGTTGACATTCATGCAGTTAAACCAACACTTTTTGCCGTCAACAGCGCGTTACTCAAGGGTCAAACCCGGGTCCGTTGTTGTTTAGATCTTTGTCAGTGATGTTCCGAATATAACGACTAACATTCAGAACATCATTGTTTCAGGTAGTCCCCATGTTCATGCATTTTTTTTCCAAGAAAATGTTATTTACACAGTTGTAGTTTAGCTATAATTTTTATTAAATAAAGAATCTTGGTGTTTCTCGTGTCTTTATCTTTTGAAAGAATTGAAAAGAATCTTCGGAGGTCCTTGATCTTTAATTTTTGAAAAAGACCGAAAGAATCTTCGGGGTCACTGGTACTTTGTATTGGAAGAATGTGAAAGAAACTTGGAAATCTCTAGTGTTTTATTTAGGAAAGAGATTAAAACAACGTTCGGACCTTGTTTTGTTTTTGAAAGAATTTGAAAGAATCTTGGAACACCCTAGTGTTTTATTTGAGAAAAATTTTCAAATAATCTTGAAAAAATTTAAAAAAATCTTAAATGTCCAATGTGTTGTATTTTTGAAAAAAATTAAAAGAATCTTGGGGGGGGGTTACTGGTGTTTTATTTAGAAAGAATCTTAGGGAATTTTGAAGTTTCTAGTGTTTTTATTATTATTATATAATTTAAAAGATTCTTAGCGCCCCCGGTGTTTTTTTACTACATAAACGAGCCTGTGTTTTGTTTTATAAAGGATTTGAAAGAAACTTGAGACCCCTGGTTTTTTATCTCCTAACTAATTTTGAAAAATGTTGTTTCCAGTGCCTTTAATTTCTGAAATAATTTAGAATATTCTTGAACTGTTTTATTTTTGAAAGAGATTAAAAGAACTTTGGGGTCTACTGGTGTTTTGTTTTGAAAGAATTTGAAACTGTCTTGGGAGTCGCTGGTGATTTATTTGCGAACTAATTTGAAGAAATTTTGGAGGCGCTGATGTTTTATTTCTGAAAAAAAATTGAAAGAATCTTGGGCTTTTTAATGTTTTTATTATTATTATTTTAATAATTTAAAAGTTTCTTGGGTATCGCGATATTTTTTAATAGATAAAAAACCTGTGTTTTACGATATTTATGAAAGAATTTGAAAGAACCTTCGGGGCCACTGGTGTTTTATTTTGAAAGAATGTCAATGAAGAGAAGTGAAACCTTCTCGGGGGCCCCAATTGTATTTTTTTAAGAATGTTAAACCTCCTGGAGGGTTCCAATTGTTTTTTTTTTAATCTAAAACCTTCTCGGGGGTGCTAAATGTTTTTTTTTTAATGTGAAACCTTGTCGGGAGTCCCAACTGTCTTTTTTAAAAATGTAAAATGTTCTTGGGGGTCCCAACTGTTTTTTTTTAATGTAAAACTTTCCCGGAGGCCCCAAATGTAATTTTTTTTAATGTGAGACCTTCTCGGGGGTTCCAACTGTCTTTTTTTAAAAATGTAAAACCTTCTCGTGGTCCCCAAATGTTTTTTTTGGGAATGTGAAACCTTCTCGGCTTCCCAACTGTCTTTTTTTAAAAATGTAAAACCTTCTCGTGGTCCCCACATATATTTTTTTTATGTAAAACATTCTCGGGGCCCCAACTGTCTTTTTAAAAATGCAAAACCTCGGGGGCGCCAAATGTATTTATTTAAGAATGTGAAATCTTAAGGGTCCCAAATATCTTTTTAGAAATGTAAAACCTTCCCGGGGGTCCCAAATATATTTTTTTTTAATGTGAAACCTTCTCGTGGTCCCCAAATGTATTTTTTTTTAATGTAAAACATTCTCGGGGTCCCAACTGTCTTTTTTTAAAAATGTAAAACCTTCTCGGGGGTCCCAAGTGTAATTTTTTTTTTTAATGTGAAACCTTCCCGGGAGTCCCAAATGTATTTTTTTATGAATGTGAAACCTTCTTAGGGTCCACAAATGTATTGTTTTTAAGAATGTGAAACCTTCTCGGGAGTCCCAAATGTATTTTTTTTTATAAATGTGAAACCTTCTCAGGGTCCACAAATGTATTGTTTTTAAGAATGTGAAACTTTCCCGGGTGTCCCAAGTGTATTTTTTTTTATAAATTTTTAAGAATGTGAAACCGTCTCTGGGGCCCCAAATGTAATTTTTTTTTTAATGTGAAACCTTCTCGGGGGAGCCAAATATCTTTTTAGAAATGCAAAACCTTCTCGGGAGTCCCAAATATATTTTTTTTTTAATGTGAAACCTTCTCGGGGGTCCCAACTGTCTTTTTTTAAAAATGTAAAACCTTCTCGTGGTCCCTAAATATATATTTTTTTTAATGTAAAACATTCTCGGGGTCCCAACTGTCTTCTTTTAAAAATGTAAAACCTTCTCGGGGGTCCCAAGTGCATTTTTTTTAATGTGTAACCTTCCCGGGAGTCCCAAATGTATTTTTTTTATGAATGTGAAACCTTCCCGGGAGTCCCAAGTGTATTTTTTTTTATAAATGTGAAACCTTCTCAGGGTCCACAAATGTATTGTTTTTAAAAATGTGAAACCGTCTCTGGGGCCCCAAATGTAATTTTTTTTTAATGTGAAACCTTCTCGGGGGAGCCGAATATCTTTTTAGAAATGTAAAACCTTCTCGGGAGTCCCAAATGTATCTTTTTTTAATGTAAAACATTCTCGGGGTCCCAACTGTCTTTTTTTAAAAATGTAAAACCTTCTCGGGGGTCCCAAGTGTATTTTTTTTTAAATGTGAAACCTTCTCAGGGTCCACAAATGTATTGTTTTTAGGAATGTGAAACCTTCCCGGGAGTCCCAAATGTATTTTTTTTTATGAGTGTGAAACCTTCTCAGGGTCCACAAATGTATTGTTTTTAGGAATGTGAAACCTTCCCGGGAGTCCCAAATGTATTTTTTTTTATGAGTGTGAAACCTTCTCAGGGTCCACAAATGTATTGTTTTTAAGAATGTGAAATCTTCTCGGGGGTCCCAACTATCTTTTTTTTAAACATGTTAAACCTTCTCGGGACCCCCAAATGTAATTTTTTTTTTAATGTGAAACCTTCCGGGGGGGGGGGGGTCACAACTCTAATTTTTTTTTAATGTAAAACCTTCTCGGGGCCCCCAATGTAATTTTTTTTAGAATCTGAAACCTTCTCGGGGCTCCCAACTGTCTTTTTTAAAAAATTTTAATCTTCTCGGGGGCCCCAAATGTAATTTTTTTTAGAATGTGAAACCTTCTCGGGGCTCTCAACTGTATTTTTTTTTAAATGTGAAACCTTCTCGGGACCCCCAAATGTAATTTTTTTTTAATGTGAAACCTTCCGGGGGGGTCCCAACTCTCATTTTTTTTTAATGTGAAACCTTCGTGGGGGGTCCCAACTCTCATTTTTTTTTTTGTAAAACCTTCTCGGGGCCCCCAATGTAATTTTTTTTAGAATCTGAAACCTTCTCGGGGCCCCCAATGTAATTTTTTTTAGAATCTGAAACCTTCTTGGGGGTCCCAACTCTCATTTTTTTATATGTAAAACCTTCTCAGGGGCCCGAAATGTATTTTTTTTTATTGAGTGAAACCTTCTCGGGGGCTCCAAATTTAATTCTTTTTAGAATGTGAAACCTTCTCGGGGCTCCCAACTGTATTTTTTTTAAAATGTTAAACCTCGGGGCCCCCAAATGTATTTTTTTTTTAATGTGAAACCTTCTCGGGGGTCTCAACTATCTTTTTTTAAATTTTTTTTTAAAATGTCAAACCTTCTCGGGACCCCCAAATGTAATTTTTTTTTTTTAATGTGAAACCTTCTCGGGGGTCCCAACTCTCATTTTTTTTAAATGTAAAACCTTCTCGGGGCCCCCAAATGTAATTTTTTTTAGAATGTGAAGCCTTCTTGGGGCTCCCAACTGTACTTTTTTAAAAATGTTAAACCTTCTCGGGGCCCTCAAATGTAATTTTTTTTATAATGTGAAACCTTCTCGGGGCTCCAACTGAATTTTTTAAAAAATGTTAAACCTTCTCGGGGCCCCCAAATGTATTTTTTTAAACCTTCTCGGGGCTCCCAACTGTTTTTTATTTTAATGTAAAACCTTCTCGGGGGCCCCAAGTGTATTTTTTTTTAATATGAAACCTTCTCGGGGGTCCCAACTGTCTTTTTTAAAAATGTAAAACCTCGGGGGTCCCAAATGTAATTTTGTTTTAATATGAAACCTTCTCGGGGGTTCCAACTGTTTTTTTTTGAAAATGTAAAACCTCAGAGGCGCCAAATGTTTTTTTTAAGAATGTGAAACCTTCTCGGGGGCCCAAAGTTTCAAAATAAGGACTGACAAAATTAAGGATGAAACGGGTAAGTGACAAACTCAAGTAAATGCTACCTGAAGAGTTAAACATTTTTTTTAAAGCCCATTGTTTAAAAAAATAAGTTATATGGTCACAAAACAAACTGAAAAACTTTGTTAGTGGCAAATATCGCAGAAAAACCCACTGAAGCAGACAGGAAAGCAACAACCACCAGAAATAAAAAAAGTCCTTAATGCGGCTACTCACGTTTCAAAATTCCGTCTGCCCATTGCCCGTTTTTTAAAAAACCACCGACCCAGCACGCCATGTCGTCAAAGGCCCATCACCGAACCACAAAACCCCATCCCCCCCCCCCCCCCCCCGCCCATCCTGCGCTGCTGGTCGGCCACAAAGCCCTAATCTAATGAAGATTTTTTCGTGGTATC